ACAAAACTCAAATCCAAATGGATCAAAGACCTGAAATTCAATCCAGCCACATTGAACCTCTTAGAAGAGAAAGTAAGAGTTACCCATGAACAAATTGGTATAGGAGACTGCTTCCTGAGCATAATTCCAGGGGCCCAGACACTGAGAGAAACAATTAATAAATGAGACTTCTTTAAACTTAGAAGCTTCTGTAAGTCAGAGGAAACAGGGGACAAGACCAAATTGCAGCCCACAGACTGGAAAAAGATTTTCACCAATCCTATATCCCACAAAGGGCTGATGTGCAAAATATACAAAGAACTCTAGAAACTAGTTAACACAACACCAAATAACCCTAGTAAAAAATGGGGTACAGAATTGAAGAAAGAATTCTCAATAGATGAAATCAAAAAGGCTGAAAGACACTTAAGAAAATGTTCCATATCTCTAGCTATCAGGGAAATGCAAATCAAAACAACTTTGAGATACCATCTTACTCCTGCCAGAATGGCTAAAATTAGAAACACCAATGATAACTCATATTGGGGAGGATGTGGAGAAAGGGGAACACATCTCCACTGCTGGTGGGAGTGCAAATACATACAGCCATTTTGGAGATCAGTATGTTGGTTCCTCAGGAAAATGGGAATTAGTTTACCACAGGTCCACCAATCCCCCTCTTAGGCATATACCCAATGGATTCACATCCATGCAACAAAGACATCTGTTCAACTATGTTCATAGCAGCACTATTTGTAATAACAAGAACCTGTAAGCAACCTAGATGCCCCTCAATTGAAAAATGGTTAAAGAAGATGTTGCAAATCTACACAATGGAATACTACTCTGCAGAAAAAAATTATGGTATCTTGAAATTAGCAGGCAAGTGGATGGCACTTGAAGAACCCATCCTGAATGAGGTAACCCAGTCACAAAAATTAGAACACAGTACATACTCATTCATATATGGATGTTAGACCTAGATCAAAGGATCACCAGCTTATAATTCACACCACCAGAATAACTAGGGTACAAGGTATATTCTAAGAGATTCATATAAAGTCCCTCACAGAACTGTAATGGACAAGCCCCCAGAGCTCAGGAAAACTGAGGGGGCAGCTAAAGGAGAGAGAAGTAGGAGAAAATGAGGGGGAGGAAAGAAAAACATGTGTGATCAGGAAGAATGAGCCTGGTTAGGAATAGAAGACAGGAAAGAGAGAGACAGAGAGAGAGAACATAAAAGAGTGAGCCAATATTGGTTTAAAGATAAAACTGAACACAAAGGTCTAGAGAACTACAAGACTGCTGCCAACTAACAATTTGTGCCTCCTTGGAAAGGGTACCATAAATGGCCTTCCCGGAGAGTGAGATCAACAACTAACTTTTCCATGGAGCCCTCAAATAATGCCTGTTGGAAACAGGAGCAAACACCCATACATAAACAATGAGTCGAAGTTGAACTCAGATGCAGATGGAGAGGACAAGACCAGTCTGCATAAACACATTGAGACAGCTTACCTGAACAAGGAGGAGCTAAGGGGCCATGAGACTGATAGCTGGGAAGTCAGCATGGGACTGACACAGCCCCCCCTGAATATGGGTCTCAGCCAGAAGGAATGAGAAGTCTAAGGGACCTCAGACAGTGAAGCCAGGTTGTATCCCTGGTGCACAAAAGGACTTTGCGAACATATTCCCCATGGAGGGATAACTGCCTTAACCTAGAGACAGGAGAGAAACCCTAGTCCCTACTTCACATGACCTGTCAGACCTAAATGACCCCAACTTGATGAAATTCCCCTACATATGGAATTGGGGTGGGGGGAATGGGAGGGTGGTTACAGAGCATGTGAGATGGAAGAGAAGTTAAAAGGGATGGAAGGAGGGAGGGAGGAAGGGAGAGAGTGAGAGTGGTTTGGAGGGAGTGAGGGAGGGAGGGAGAGGGAACTGGAATCGACATGTAAAATAATAAATTAAATTTAAAAAATGCTTTGATTCCAAAATTTCAGTTCAAGGACAAGTTACAGGGAAAAGGATTTCTATTTTTGTTTCCACAGAAAATGAAAAGATGTGCATTCCTTCCAGACTAATGTGGTTTGATCAAGCCAGACCACCTGAAACAGAGTCCCAGGTGATCCTACATTCAAAACAGCTGGACAAAGCAGCCTGACAGACTACAGCTAGGATTTCTGAATCTTCTTCGAATCCTGCATGACAGCACCCCTTACCAGCAAGAAGTAGTTTGGAAAGAACAACACCCAAATTCCCATATATTTTCTATAAATGTTTGTTTTCATTTAAATGGAATTGGTTATATAAAATCAATAAATAAAAAAAAATCAAAACAAAGCACAGAGCAGGACTCAGTTGAAGTGCACTTTGAAATATAGTTTCCATTACAAACAACATTGAATGAATGAATGAGCAAATAAATGCCCATAACTCTATTATGCTTTTATGGAACTTATGCTTGTCTTTTTATAGGTTTAAATACTTTTTAACTTTACTCATATGTCCTTTGTGCCAGCATTATTATGAATATGAACAAGGTAACATCTACATTATATTTTATGAATGATTATTTTTGGTAAGTGCCAAAGTTTAAGTTTTGTCTATGACTGTCCTTCTCATCACCTAGTATTTTTTCATAGTTTCTCTACTAATTTTAAGTACTTCTTAATCAGCCAGAGTGAGAGAGGGAGAGAGAAACACACATATGAACACATAATATATTTTTTAGAAGTAACCCATACACAAAAAGAGAACATAGTATGGACTCACTCATATATGGATTTTAGACTTAGATCAAATGATCACCAGACTATAATTCACACCATCAGAAGAACTAGGATACAAGGTGTATTCTAAGAGATTCATATAAAGTCCCTCACATAACCGGAAAGTGACAATCACCCAGAGCACAGGAGAAGTGGGGAGGGAGCGAATGGAGGGAGAAGTAGGAGAAAACGAGGGAGAGCAAAGGAAAACACGTGCGACCAGGAAGATTGAACTCAGTAAGGAATATAAGACAGGAGAGAGAGAGAGAGAGAGAGAAAACATAAAAAAAATTGAGCCAATATTGGTTTGAAAATAAAACTGAACACAAAGAAAGTTCTCAAGTACTGAAAGACTGCTGTAAACTAACAATTTGAGCTTCAGTAGAAAGGCTACCATAAATGGCCTTCATGGAGACTGAGATCAACAATTAACTTATCCATGGAGCCCTCAACTAATGCCTGTTGGAAACAGGAGCAAACACCCATACATAAACACTTAATCGATGTAGAACCCAGAAGCAGATGGAGAGGACAAGACCAGGATGCAGAAACACATGGAGACAGCTTACCTGAACAAAGAGGAGCTAATGGGCCATCAGACTGATAGCTGAGAAGCCAGCATGGGACTGACTCAGGCCCCCCTGAATTAGGTCTCAGCCAGAAGGACTGAGCAGTCTAAGGGACCTCACACAGTGGATCCAGGATGTATCCCTGGTGCACAAAAGGACTTTGAGAACACATCTCCCATGGAGGGAAAACTGCCTTAACCTAGAGATAGAAGAGAAGCCCTAGTCCCTACTTCACATGACCTGTCAGATCTACATGACTCCAACTGGATGTCTTTCACCTACATATGGAATTGGGGTGGGTGGATGCGAGGGGAGGGTTGTTATGGTGCATGTGAGAGGGCAGAGATGGTAAAAGGGAGGGAGGGAGAGGGAACTGGGATTGACATGTAAAATTAAAAAAAAAATTAAATAAAAAAAAAATGCCTTGACTCCAAAATTTAAGTTCAAGGACAAGTTACTAGGGAAAAGTATTTCTATTTTTGTTTCCACAGAAAATAAAAAGCTGTGGATTCCTTCTAGACTAATGTGGTTTGATCAAGCCAGGCTGCCTGAAACAGAATACCAGGTGATCTTACATTCAAAACAGCTCGAAAAAGCAGCCTTACAGAATACAGCCAGAATTTCTGCATCTTCTTAGAATCCACTATGAAAACGTCCTTACCAGCAGGAAGTAGTTTGGAAAGAATGACACCCAAATTCCCAAATATTGTCTATAAATGTTTGTTTTCATTTAAATGGACTTGGTTATATAAAATAAATAAATAAATAATTTTTAGAAATGAGTACATGATATTTGGAAAGATTGGTACTATGGCAGGACTTGAGGGGGAGGAAGTTGCGAAGGGATTGGATCATGATATATATTTTTATAAATTTTCAAATAATTAAAAATTCTTATATTTAACTGAGCAAAAACTATAACGATCAAATACTACATGGGAAAAGACCAGGATTCTTATTAATAATAGTATTTTAGACAAATTGCTTCTTAGATGAGCTATTAGGACCATTAATATGGAATACCAGGCAAAGACAAAAACACTGCAACTTTTTAATGAAAATTACAGTGTGTTAAAATTATACGCAAAACAATTAAACAAATACCTGTTTTAAAAATGTCAAATAAACTACCATTAACAGATCAACAAGATAACTCAGTGATAACAGCATTTCCAAGCCTGACCAACTGAGTTCAGTCCAAGAACACACATGATAGTTGGAGACATGTCCTCTGACTGAAACATGAGCCCGTAGTATGTGCAACAGAACACACACACACACAAACACCCACAACATAATCTCACACCAAATAAATAGATTTTTCAAATTATGATAATATTATTATTCAATGAATTGACTTGGTGACAGCTGCAAAAAATACTTAAGAGTTCTATAAATGGGGTAAGAACATGTACATTAAAAACTGGTTAAAACGTATAAACAGTAAAGCCTGGTAGATTCAAGAAGTGTATGGAGGTAGAAGGGTGGGAAGATAGTTCAGGTTTAGAATAGAGAGGTTGTGACATCACAAAGGCTCAGTTGTTAGCAACATTCAGCCATCCAATAGATGAGAATTCACTTCAGAATTCTGTGAAGGTTTTCCCTGGTTCTCTGAGCTCCCATAGTCCTACTTCAGTTACTCCTGGTTTCCAAGGCACTAAACACAGCTTTCAACAAAATGGAGGAGGCTAAAGGTAGGCCAGATGAAACCAAAGGCCCTAATGACAAAGGAAACTCTATCAGGGAAAGACTTGCCAGGAGCTGTAAGATCAACATTGATCACAGCCAGAAGCCTCGAAAAGGATACCTGCTGCCACCTGAGTCTGTGAAAATCCTTCGTGTCTGGCTTTATAAGCACCGGTTTCATGCTTACCCTACCGAAGAAGAGAAGCGAATGCTGTCCAAGAAGACCAATTTATCTTACCTTCAGGTCTCCAACTGGTTTACAAATGCGCGTAGACGCCTTCTTCCGGAAATCCTTCTACATGATTCATACAAAATTAGCTACAAAGGTCAGGCTGCAGAAGCAGCCCAGGAGCAGCAAACCAGTGCATTACAGAAGGTTAAGGCACAGGCTAGTGTCAAAGCTGAGAAACAGAATGTGCTCTTGCCAATGTACCAAGAATCTCAAGGGAAGCTATCAGAACCAGAGTCTTCTCCAAGACAGAATGGTATCCCTGAAGCCAACTCAGGGGAAAAAGGAAAGATTTTTGCCGGTGAGCCTTTGTCTTCTCCAGAATCTGTGTGGCCAGAGGAAAAACCAGATTTTAGCAGCTTCTACATGCTGGTTGATGTTGCTGTACAGAAGGCAGCAGAACTGGAGGAGCAGAAGAAACAAGATCCCAAACTGTAATCTCTGCCCCCACTCCACTCAGTAGTTTGGATAGTCAGTCCACTGTATTCCATTATGCTCAACCCGATTTAATGCAATTCTATCTTGCAATACCAGCTTTTTTCCCCATCTTAATAAACTTTTTCTTTAACACATATCAATTTTATGGATATGCTAATGTTTTTCTGGTTTCATGATGAAAGTCATTAGCTATGATTATCAACTTTAACAAAATTTTAAATGTATCCTCTTCCCCTGCGCTTAAGTTCTATATATCTGATATTAAACATCATGCGATCTTTAGACAAGGGTGTTCATGTCTAATCTCAATTTCTCCAAACCAGCTAGAACCTTGATGTAAAGGGATCCTTCTTTCCCTCCTTTTTGGTAGCTATCTTTAATTATTTTTCCAGATAATAGATAGAAAAAACACCGCCAAAAGAAACGTTTGACACTACTGGCCAGCTATTTTTGTTTTTCTGTTTGTATTACTTTTAAGATTTCAACTGTTTCCCTTTGTATAGTATTTTTCAGTAGTGGTTTTTCTCTCTAGGAATATGAATATGAAAGCCAAAGCAAAGTAAATTCATAACTATGGGGAGAATACTTGTAATCTCTTTAGACAAATAAGAGTTAACTTTTGGTATGATAATTGGAGAACTTCAATGGGTAGTTTACTGCTGCCAAGTCTTAGATTGTTCACTGGGTTTGTCATGTGTTTTGTTACTTTTTATTATCTGCATCACATGAAAACTATAAACAAATTAGCTACAAACCAACTGTACATAATTTATGGATTTAAAAAAAGGAATCAATCTAGAACATTTCAGTAAAACAGAAATTAAACTGGGGTCATCTATATTGTGTTTATTTTGTTTATCATAGTTAACTTTCAGTTTAAAATACTTGACTTGATGGTGTTTGCTGGGAAGGTTAATGTTACAGGCAGCTCTTACAAGAATACGTTCCTCTGGCTTTGTTAAGTTCAGACATATTTTCAATATGAAATGCATACTAATCTAGGAAGCTGTTATTTATATTTCCTGATTTTGTGAAGGTCAATATGGCCTCCATTTCAACTTCTGAATAAGTAACAAACAGATGTAACTACTAGGCCTGTTAGTTTTTATCTGTTAGGTGGTTGTTTGTTGTTTAATGCCTAACTCATTATTGAGAATTTCCATATATTTTTCATCTTCTTAAAGCACCTTTAGAAACAATGTTAATCTGAAAAAAATCAATTTCAGTGTTAGTTAGAAAGGAAGAGGTCAAAAGTCTCAAACTGCTGTTCCTGAAATAGAGTAAATCAATTCTGATTTACTTTTAAGATTTTTTATTATTGTTGTTTGACATTTCTATACACATACACAATGGAATTTACTTATTTTCACCCATTTCCAAGTCATCTCCATCCCTTTCTTGTTCCAACTCTTCTTCCTAAAAATTTCATCACTACTTGCATGCCTTATTTTTAAAATGTGATCCAATGAGTTGAATGATCATTTCTTGTCCATGTGTTTGGGGGCAATTTATCACCAACATGACCATTGACCACAATGACACAAGTCTCCACCCCCAACAACTATTAACTGCCAATAGCCCCTTAGGTATAGATAGTGCCTTATAGACCCCTATGCTATACATGAGGAAATGTTGATATGTTGATCTTGTGTGGAAAACCACAACTTCAGTCAGTTTATGAGTACAACAGCTATATCAAGTCCAGAAGAGGTCTTTTTTATGTAAACCCTGTCCTCTTTTTTTACATTCTTTCTATTCTTCCACAATGATGTTGAGCATTGGGTGGATGATATAGTTATCCCATTTAGGGCCATGAATTTCACCTTCATTTATTCTCCACACATTCCTTCATCACTTATTCTTATCCAGACTTTAGAAATTTATGGGTTGCTCTATTAACTGTTATAAGTTGCAGTAAGAAGCTTCTCTGGTGAAGATGGGCACAACATTGATAATTTCTTTATCTGATCATGATTATTTATTAGGCAGTTTTACAATGTGAGCATTTACTAAAACAATTTTAGTTGATGCCTAGGGACTATAAGATGCCCAGGCATCTGATCTTGACTTGATTTATATAACTGGGCTTGATTTCCTTCTTACTGATTTGATTTCACATGGAAAAAAATGTTTTGTTACCAGTGTATGAATCATTAAAATATTGCACTACAGGGCATAACTTTCCCAGGGCATTGTTGTAGATTTCAGGATTCACAACTGGTTCAGATTATTGATTACTCCTTTATTAGAAAAATGAATAGCACATTCTGGATCTACAAACGCTAGAGAGTAGGAAGGTTGCTTCTAACTCCCCTCTAACATCATTTGTTGAAGAGTCTGGCTTTCCCATTTTTTGTTTTGTTTTAATTCAAGCAATATTTTTTGTCCAAAATAAGGTGGCCACAGATGCATGAACTTAGATGTGGGTCCTCTACATAATTTAGTAACATTGTATTTATATATTTCTGTTTGAGCCTTTACCGTGGTGCTTTTACTAATATGCCTCTGGAATTTAACTTCAAATCAGAGTATTCCCAGTAGATTTTTTTTGGGGGGGGTTGGTTGTTTATTTGTTTAGAATCAATATGAATATCTGGGGACTTTTGTGTTTCCATATATATTTAATTTATTTTTCTTACTTAAAATGTTAAGAATTAAGTTAGTGTTTTGATTGCAGTTGCAATGAATATGTCAATTACTCTTGGAAGGATGATTATTTTTACAATACTAATCCCACTATTGCATAAGTGTAGAAGGTTTTCCATGGTCAAATTTTTTCTGTAACTTCTTCAATGTTTTATAGTTTTTGTTGTAGTTCATTAGTAAAATATAGTATAACTACTCCTCTCTCTCTATCTCTATCTCTCTGTCTCTTTCGCTCCCTCTGTATCTCGTGGTTATGTTTTCCTTATTTCTTTGTTAGTGTGTTGATCATTAGCATATAGAATTTCAGTTGATCCCAGTATATTAGGATTTTAAGCTTACATTTTGCTCAAAGTATGTATCACCTCCAGGAGTTATCTGCTGGAGACTTTGGCTGTCAGATATATAGAATCTTATAACAGGAAATAAGGTAATCGTTGACATCATGTGTGGGTGTACATGTGTCTGTGCCTGTGTGTGTGTATAAAAGCTCTTACTGTTCTACCTAAGATGTCAATCAGTGCATTAAAATTAAATATATGAAATAGAAATCTTTATCCTGTTTGTGCTGTTAATAGGAATCTTTCCAGTTTTTCTTGTGCATGTTGGAGGGTATATATTTTCATATCAGGATAATTAACCCAAGTTTTGTGAAGAGTTTGATGCATTCCTTGTTTTCTTCTTTATGAAGTAATTTAAGTAAGTTTTGCTTTTGGTCTCTTTGAAGATGTGGTAGATTTCTGTATTGAATCCATCTGGAACTGAGCTTTGTAGGATGGGAAATTTTTAGTTACTCATTCACTCTTTTTGCTTGCTTTATGTCTATTTCAACTAGGTTTAAAAATGTTAGGTCATATGTATCTAGAAAGTGTTCCTTTTGTATCTAATGGTGCCAGAAGTATATTGTAATCATTTTCAATAGAGTAGTAGTTTTAATTTGTGTTTCTATATTCAGCAATATTAATTGTGTGAAATTTGATGTGCCTGTATTTGGTGTATGCGCGTGTGTGTGTGTGTATGTTTGTGTGTGTGTGTGTGTGTATGTTTGTGTGTGTTATTTATGGTGGATTGTTCTTTTGATGCTTATGATATGACATTCTGAGCAAATTTTGCTTGAAATCTGGTTACTCAGTTATTAGAATAGTGATACTCTTTTTTTGTTAATCTCATTGCTTAAAAGAATTTTCTTTTATCCTTTCAACCTAAAGCAGAATGTCTTTTTAATAACAAAATGGAAGAGGCAAGAAGTTTGCAGATGCTTATTTCTAATTGATTCTTCAAGTCCATGTCTTAGAACAGTCAAACTGAGATAATTCACATTCAGAATTAATGAATTTATTTATTGCCCACCTTTTTGTGATTTTATAGTTTTGGGTGCTTCAATAGCCTTGTCTTTTCCTCATTGATGTTTTTCTCTCTGTACCATTTTGTACATGATGGCTTGGTAGTCATAAATGTCTTTAAACAGATGATATCATGGGCATTTTCCTTTCTTTTATTATATTTATTTTTTCAGATATATTTGGCTTGGGTGAGAGTTTTGACTTTTCAGAATTTGAAGTATGTATTTCTAAGCCCTTCAATTCAGGAAGGTTTCAATTGAAAAGTAAGAAGTTACATATCTACTTTTACATTTTCCTCAGCTCTTCATTCTTATACTTTTCAAAACATATTCATTATTTGGTGCATTTGGTCGGTCAGCTATGTCATGATGGAGCATTTATTTTACTGTCCTATTTCATGTTCTTTGAGAATCTAACAGCCTGAGGGTCGGTTTTGGCTCCTAGATTTGAAAAGATTTGTCTGTGACTTTATAAAATGTTTCCTACTTCTTTGGAATAAAATTCTTCTCCTATGTCCATGATTTATGAATAATTTACACAAATTTTTCATGAACCTGTTTCTTAGAGACTGGTTGATATCTGATTGAGGAGATTTCTAGGCTCAACATATGAAAAGATTGTGAGAGCATTTTGTCTGAAAAGTCTCAGGGCCTACACTTTTCTGTGGCTCAACTGAAAATGAACTATTAATATACATTCATTGTTACAGTCTGATAAAGATTTCTTATTCTTGAACAATGTCTTCAAACTTGCCTATAGTTTAGTCCAATTTGGTTGCTGTAGAATGATTAATACTGGGTACATTTTAATGATAAATTATAATGTTGCACCATTCTTCTATGTCCATTAAATATTTTGAAATGCCATAGTGTGTGTTAGTGTTAAGTATTAACCATACTATACAAAAATATAAGAACTATCACTTTACTGACCCAGAGCCATTAAGATAAGGAAATATTTGTTTGAATAAATCATTATATGAGCAGTTTTCCTAAATTTCTAACACAATATTTT